CATGTAAACACCATCTTCATGTTTTCCCTTTTGTGCATTCAGCTCACTACATGATCTCGCACACGCTTTCTTTCCGTCCAGCTGATTTGCTTTGGGGATTTTTTTACACGCCTTATCAGGCTTATGCGTGTTTTCCATCTTGATCTGCATTGACGATATTGACGCAAATGAACGCTCCAAGAGCGCAAACAAAGCTTCCAGAGCGTTCTCGTCTTCACGATTCGCACCATGACGGCATCTTCGAAACTTATCCAGCCACGACAGGTAATCGGAGAGTTCAGATTCATGCTTGTATGCGCCTTGTAATATGCTTGACAATCGTACAGCTAAACATGAGTTTCGCATTGCACTCTTTTGCCCAGCAAATCCCTCTTTGAATGTATTACGCAGCTTTTGAACTACATGCCTGCTGTTAACATCGGCACCGATACCTCCACTGACAAGAACAAGGCCAAGAATGAAAGACAAGAAATGCATGACTATGCTCCTACACGGCAGATCTGAATTCACAAAGCCGAAAATCTACTCGCAGGTCACTTTGAAGTTTAAAAAATAGGCACCATGACCACTGGCTTAAACATGCAAGGTAAGAACTATGACACGCTTCAAAACCATGAACATCTACGCCATGTAACGTCGTGCATTTAAAAAAGACGTTTAAAATGTCTAGAAGCCTAAAAATATGAGTACCGGGCTTCGGATTTACCTGTCGAAGACTATCTTTTGTGAGTATGGACATCTGCTAGCAATTTGCGCAGCTGTTTTTACGAGGCAGAAGCATGTGAAATAATTGCAAGCCAACGTCATTTGGAGGAATCCGAAGCTCGGATAGAATTATAATGTAATAGACCACGACCGGTTGAAATAATGATCAATACCTACAATTACTAACAACTTACAAACTACAAACTAGCAATGCCTACAATTACTAACTAACAAATTACTGCTAACAAAGTTACTCAGCCTTCACTTCATATCAGTTTCAGTGATGGACCCTGGCTAGTTGGCCCCTTAGGTCAGTTGAAGTGTCAAATTTTACATATCTTTCGAAATGACGCCATTATGTGTGTGTCGATACACAACAATTAAGCAGACGCTGCGTTTCCTTGCTGTTACTCCATTTGACACTATGTGACTGTTGGTGCTCCTCCCTTACTAGGGACACACTTCCACAATGTCAAGTTAAGTTCAGCTCACGTTAGGTCGAGGGACGTTGACGTTATACCCTTCGCTCTCGTTATCATCATTAGTAAGGTAGAAACGGTTTCTGTTGGTCCCGCAGTTCAGCATCCTTTTCGAATCGGACGGAGTGCCGTTTGCATAGTTAGCTCGAGAGCCACTTTTTGCGAATTCAGTACCAAATGGCAGCAATATGTGTCATGTTATGTTGCCCATCAAGAAAATTACATGGTATGCTTAATTAGATTGAACGAAGCGGTATGCTGATGCGCATGTTGCGAGAATAATAATTCGGGACATACGTTTAAGATTTTAAGTTTAAAATGCAAACAATAACTTAAATTTTTCTTTCAAATCAACATTCAAACATAAAACATGCGTTTAAACAATTCAACACCTGAGAATACTTTCCGACTTTTAAAATGTATTGCATTAGTAGCCGAGATTCCTGGAAAACTTCTGGGACAACGAAAATTGCTACTGCTTACGCAAGTGAAGTGTCGATGGCATTACGGGTAAGCACGAGTGTCGCTTTGTATTCGTTTGAGAAGTCCCTGCAACCCCTCCTCCCGCCCCCAACGTTGAGTTGAGTCTCTTCAATGATGGCTTAGACTCCTCTCCGAAATTTTTGGCAGAAGGCTAAAATGCCACAAAAGTTGCCATGGTGGATGCAGCGAGGTTACTTGAACCCGCAACCTCAAAATTATATTATTAAAAGTGTGTGGGGGGGGGGAATAAGATATTATGGTTGAACCATTTCATACCAGGCAGAGCGACTACCTCAATTAGAATTATGAGCTTTTCTTAAGGATTTCTAGACAAACGGCGTTACGAAACAAATCAGACACACCTTATCTATTTATGACAGAAAGGTGAAAAAGGTGAGGCGTTCCCTTTCAACAACGACTTAACCACGTGCAGATATGTCACACACCTCGGATACGTTACACTGCACAATATCACAGAACTGGGGCTCCGCAGCAAATGTCACCTAAACCCGAGACGTCAGGCACGCTGTGAGTCCTGCGACCGGTGCCGGCCTGCGTGACGTGACGAACCCGTGCCGGCAGAGGTGGGCGGCCCGCTGACCGAAGCGCTGAAGGCCGTCTCGAAGCAGAAGCCGTGTGACCCGATCAAATTCATGGCGGCGCTGCTGTACCGGCGGGCGGCGGATGGCGGGCGCTCGGCCGCGCTGAGCGCCGCCGAGCCGCCGCTTGCCGGTGCCGACCTGCAGACGCTGCTCCGCCGGGTCAGTACGCCGCCCACCCCCGAGCGGGGACCATTGGGTCACCGGCAGCGGCCCATTGTTCGGCGAAGCATG